CCCCCCCCTCCCTCTCTCTCTCTCTCTCTCTCTCTCTCTCTCTCTCATCTCTCTCATTTCTAGTTATATATAATGATTGCTCACCAGGAACATTAGGTTTCCATTATTATTCAAGTAACTTGGATTCATAGCCACTAGGTCGAGAGAATAGGCAAATAAAAAATAGAAGCAGTCTATACAGTGTATTCCAGAACTAACAAAAAAAAAAAAAATACCCTGGCACCAAACAGGCAAAACAAAACTGGAAAAGATATATGTGTTTAAGAATTAATAGAGTATCATTCTCATTAGAAAATAAGAATGCAAAAAAGTATTAGTAGCAATGCTCATTAGTTCTTTTAATAACACGTGTCAATGCCATGAATCCTTCATGTCCTTCCAAGAATGTTTTATTATATTTGGTAATTATTTTTATTAAAATGAACTAAAATAACTCTGAAAGAAATTTCTATGACACAGCTGCAAGCTTTGGAGTACAGATGAGCTTGGGTAAGCTCAGTGAGAAGAATTTACTTTGTGTCATGCTGCTATGGCTTCTAATTCTTTTCCTAAATTACATTCAACTCTGATAAAAGTGAATATTTCTATTTTCTATCAACCACAGTTGAATAAGATCTACATGAAAGCCATTTCAACTTGAAACTCAAAGAAGCCTGACGTTAGTGTTTGATGTTCAATATTTCTTATAGGCTCCTACTGTCTCTGATTTAAATATGAGTCGAAAACAGAAAAGAGTAAAAAGAAAATTGGGTGATGCATTAAAAACTTGAGAGTAACAGGTCATCCAGCTCATTATAAGGGTCGCATTGCAGAGAATGATAGATCATCTTATTTTGAAAGCCTGGGGAAAGGTAGCTTCTACAACCTTCTCAAATTGCTTACTCAAATAATCTATGTTCCTTATGAGTATATTCTTTAAAAAAAACTGTCCTATCTATAAAACAAATGTGTTTTTGAATGAACATAAAGAACTCTCCCACTCCACTCTTACAGAACCATGATTATTTCAGTGCCAGGCCCTGAAATATAAGCACGGTTTGAGTCCTTGAGTTAGTAGGTGACTCAGCTGTACCTCGGGAATCTATCTGTTCATTCATGAGGGCGTCAGCAGTTCTGTCCCCCACCATGAGCTCCTCAAGTTCCTTCATCAAGAGGTGGTCCTCCTGGAGTTGGTGAACTGCAACAATGAACAGAGAGGAGCCACTCACACCAGGCAGATGGTAGTTTCTCCCGCACCCAGACCGCAGGAGCCAAAGGGCAGTGAATACATGAGGGCTGCAGTGTGCGAGAAATCTTCATGACGAGCAATTTTTTCCCTTATTTTTAAAACTCAGCTTTTTCTCCCTTAGAGCCTACATCTTTCACCAAGATGTAACATTTGCTTAGTTTGAAGAAATTCAGAACAAATTGTTTTTCATTAAAATGACAATAAATATGCAGTTATCATTCTGTTCAGTTGCCTATAAATTACATAATGTATTAGGGGAAAAGAGCATAAAGCTCCAGCTTTATTTCTTCTAGAGACACCAGAAAGAAATTTGTTCAGACTCACTGCATTGATCAAAGTGTGGTAATGTTTTTTGCAGAAATCAACAGGTTACTTTTCCTTGAGTAGCACAAAGTGGTACAATCCCGACTCTACAAATAACTGGGCCTGTGACCTTGGACAAGATACTTATAATGTCATTTACTCATTTATTGAACAATATTGCTAAAGGCCTATGTGCCATGCTCTATGCTGAGAACTTGATAAACAGGCAATAAAATATCATCTCCACCTCTATAGCTTTATCACATAGTAATGTTTTCAGCTGAAAAATAAGGAAGTAATACCAACTTCCTGAGATTATGGGATTTAAATGTGATTGTTATTTGTTCACTGCCAGATCTAAGGGAAGTAAGAATTTACTGCTTTTCTCTTCTCTTCCCTGGTAGGATTCGAAGCACAATTCACTCTGGGTATGATTCTACATCTGATTTGAGCATTTCAGAGGTCACACACAGACAGAAAGCATAAAAGTGTTATGCACACTTGTGAGGTATTCATGCTGCCTTCCAGCAAGTGAGTTCTCTGTTTGATTTTTTAAATGTTTTGGGGAAGTATTTTTTGAAAGGCTTCAATTCTGGGATTTAGCTCAGTGGTTCTACCACCTGCCTTGCAAGCACAAGGTCCCGAGTTCGACCCATGATACCAAAAAGCAGGGGGTGGGGGGCTTCAATTCTATCTTTTGTTTTAAAAAAATACTTTAAAAAATATCAATCTTAATCCAGTGTCTCCAAGAAGCAAATAGTTTTCCTAAGAAGTGATTCCAGGAAAAACCCACAGGGGTGGGGAGAGGCTGAGTTCATGGGAGCCGTGTCACTATGCCAGACACTGCCTTGGCCGGCCTGGACTTAGTTTCAGGTGGAGCCCACTCCCCATAGCAGCTTCCACTGAGGGTGAGGACGTTGGAGTGTTTATCCAGGCACCACCAGCTTCCTTGTCTGGAGGCTGCTCTGGGACATCAGTCCAGTGCTTGAATCCTACATGGTCAGGGCTGGGCTGGGGCAAGCACATCCCCTGGCTGCAAAATCCCTCAGATAGATGCAAGCGCAGGAACTAGAGAAAGGAAGGAGGATAAAGAGGCATCCACAGAATTTCCTGCTATGTTCTAAATATTTTGTTTTGTCATGGAACAATTGTACATGTATATATAATGAATGTATTTGACTTAGATGAATGGAAAGAACTCCAACCCACTCAATATATATATAGAATCATTTTATTTTTCATCTTTTATTCTTTTCTTTTTGTTTTGTTTTTGGTACCGGGGAATCGAGCTCAAGACCCTGTGCTTGCGAGGCAGGAGGCAGCACCACTGAACTAAATCCCTGGCCCTCAAATATATTTATTCTTAAAAACATAAAACCACAGTCTCTGATGCAAGTCATTGCATGATGGTACTCTCATTCCTTAGATGAACATTCCAGTTCTCCCCTGAACTGCTTCTGTATTATATCACTCTCTCTCTCTCTGCTCCTTGCTAAGTCTCTTTCTGCAAACAAACAAGATCCCCCAAGTGCACAGTCCTACTCCAGGGATTATATTCACTCTGTCTTCTGCTTGGAATCAAAACCCTACATCAACCCCAAGTCCTTCATGAAGCCGTGATCCTGGCCTCTAGCCAAATCCTGGAGCTCTTCTCGTCCATACCATTACTGGAGATGCTGTCTTGACCTCCACGGTTTATCACCAAGTGGACAATCCCACCCCTCCAGCTGGGCCACAAATCTCATTCTGATGAGTAGAAAGATCATGTTTTTCTTCTGGAAATAGCCACATTCTTTGTGTTTTCATATTTCCCACATGTAAGTGCTAAGTCAATATGGAACAGATATACTAACTTGTGTTGCTTCCTGTGCCTAACTACACTATGCAGCAATACCTCTTTATGGGGAGGGAAAGTCAAACTAAAGTCTGAGGACTAAAAAGTTGAATGGACTATTTATATTAAATTTTAAAGGGAATAACTATAAATTATTTGTCTGGAGGAATCCAATTTACAGTGATTGTCTGACAACTTCTATATGTCATCTCCCTTCACATTTATTGCAGCAGCACAAAGCAGCTTGGTGCAAAGATTAAGAATACATATTTTGGGCATTGATGGATAGCATTAAGAGCATGTGCATACATTGGTTGGGTGACTTTGGGCAAGGGTCATAGCCTCTCTGTCTCCCTGTGTTCATTTATAAAATGGGGACAAAGCCAGGCATGGTGGTACACATCTATTATCCCAACACTGTGGGAGGCGGAGGCAGAAGGACTACAAGTTTGAGAACAGCCTGGGAAACTTTAGCCAAACTGACCCTGCTTCAAAATAAAAAGGACTAGGAATGTAGTGCAAAGGCTCTTGGTTCAGTCCCTAGTATAAATGAATAAATTAAATAAATACCATCAAATACATAAGCCTGCATATAAAGCATTAATCTCAGGCTTGCATATAAAGCATTAATCTCAGACTCTAAGCATAGGAAGCATCCATTAAATGTTCAACATCATTGTTAATTTTAATTATATACTCCAAATTAAATTAGGTTTGGTTATATACATTAGCGAAAAGCTGAGCTAATCAAACTATCATATCTAGGGGTGCAGTGGAAGATCTCTCAGTACACTGAAATGAACAGGTGCACAAACTCAACCCACACCTTCCTCCCCTCCACAACACAGCCTGATTGCAAGCGTGAGTAGCTCCTCCCATCAGGAGGTGGCACACTTCACTAAACTGTACACTCACAAAAGATTCAGCTCCCCGACCTGCTTAGCTAGCTCTCTACCACAGTTATACAACATCCTTAAATAACTCTTACTGCCCAAATGTGGATGTGAAAAAGTAGCCATTGTGTTGTTAAAAAAAAAAAGTAAGTTGAATCAGAAAGATAAATCCTGCAAATGTTGTCTTGTGAGGAAGACAAGTATAAAAGTGCCCTAGGAGAGTTTTACACTCACAAGGTATTGATGAAAAGTCCATAAATTATGAAGTCCTTCCGCATTTTAAAACTGCAACTGAAACTGGAAGTCACAGAGAAAACATTATGGGGAGACTTTATACATGAGCCAATTTATGCTCAAAGAAAAGACCTTGACTACACATAGAAAGATGAGTAAGGCAAGGCATGACACCATATGCCTCTAATTTGAGCATTTAAGAGGCTGCAACAGGAGGAGTACCTCAAGATCAAGCAGCTTGGACTACACAATAAGACCATGTCTCAAACAAGAAAAAATAAACAAGGGTAAATAAATACACATTTATAGATTTTTAAATTAAAATATAATGTTTATATTATATGTGTGTTTAATGGTTCACATTAATAACCTATTTGATTATTCACCAGCTCTATAAGATCTTCATCACAAAATATTTCTCCTCTATTTTTACTTCAGCATTAGGTAGGCTACAAATCCTGTACAATCTTGCTTCTTTTATGAAGAAACCAGAATCTTTTGCAAGTGTTCACCTAGGGCTGCCAATTTGAAGCACTGTTTCTTTCAGTGCCAAGGGATGGTTTGCCAGTCCCAGTCTTCCTCAACTTCTCAGTACAACCAATCCATACTCTGGGAGCCTGAGAAGTCCCCAGAAAGTTCGGTGGAATCACTGCCATGCAAAGAAGGTGCTTAGAAGGATCATTGCTGTATGCAGTGCTCATGTGGTGAATTTGGGCACACAGTTACCCTTCAGAACTACCCTACTGTGTCTGCCCCCTCCAAACTCAAGTTGAAACCTCATCTCCAAAGCCACAGGTTTACACTATTTGGAGGTGATTAGGATCAGACGAAGTCATGAAGGTGGAATCGCCATGACTGCTTTAGTAATTTTGTGAGAGGAAGAGAGATTTAAATTAGCAAGCTTGCTCTGTCTTGCCATGTGACAATGCCCTGTACCACCTTGCTCTCTACCGAAGAGTCCCCCACCAGCAAGAAGGCTTTCATCAGATACAGTACTTTACTTTGGGATCTCTACCCTGCAGAACTGCCAGAAATAAACTCCTTTTCTTTATGAATTGCCCATTTGGGTATTTAGTTACATAACAATAGAAAATGCACAAAGACAGTCCTGCTCTGCTCCAAAACTGTTCACATATCTGCCTTATCCCTAATCCTTCCAAGGCTTTTTAATTATTTCCCTGCTTTCCAGCACCCAGGCTTAAATTCTATGAGCTAACTTGCTCAGGACCCTGAGAATTATTTTGCTGTAATTTACGACATTCTGCATGAGCTTCAGAAGCACGATACTGTTACCCACCTCATTTCAAATATGGTTAACTTCTATAGATTTTTAAATTTATACCCTATCTACTGGATCAGATGGGGGTGGGGCTCAGCAGTAGGTGAACTCACTTCCCCCTGCAGGATAGGACACTATCTGGATTGGTCAGCTTTGCATCCCTGTGACAAAATACCTGAGAAAACAAACTTAGAGGAGAAAAAGTTACACTTGTCTCATGATTCCAGAGGTTTCAGTTCATGGTCCCTCAGCTCCATCGTTTCTAAGTTATGGTGAGGCAGTGCATCATGATGTGTACAAGGAAAAAGCTGATCACATCACAGAAGCCAGGAAGCAGAAAACAGGAGAGAGAGAGACAGGGAAGGAGAGTCTGGAGAGAAAATATACCTAGCAAAT